CTTGAAAACTGCAAGAACTCGTCCAAGCAGTCACTGCAGAGTCGGTAACGACTGAGCGCAGATTAAAAAAAAAAATAACAACATTGGGCTTATTATGAAAACATTCATTTGGGGGGGGTTGTTAGAAGAATACATGGGGGCATTTATTAATCTGATGTCAAAGTAGGGTGAGATTAACACAGTCTTCAGAATGGCTCAGCAGCCTTCATGTACTGGTACTTATCCAAGCAGTATATAATAGTGTACCCTGTCTAAATCACCTTTTAACAGAAATACATTATCATATTTAAGGTTTAAAACGTAGCACTGAAGTTTAGGTTAAAGTATAATGGTTTGTTGAATTTATATATGCCAGTTGTATTGGTTTAACTTACACAATTTAAAGTTTATTGACCCATAAATAATTCCTTTATGTTGAGAACCATAGCTGAAACATTATTTACATAACTCTACCATGCAAACAGAGCTTTACTATCAAAAATTAAACATTTCACTATAAATATATGAATATTTAACAAACTCCTGCCTAAACCAAACTGATGTTAAACCTTCCAATAAAATTATTTGTGCATTTTAAACAAATGCCTTGCAATCTAAGAATATAAAAATAGTCTGATAAATCTTAATTTTACAATATATACATTATTTGCACAAATTATGACTACAGGAAACTGCAAAATACTACATTATAAATCTCTGTTAACTCTAATTGCTGCTCATATACTACATTTGAAACTTGAGATACTGTTCCAAATATACAGGATTCTCACTTATTTTCATAACAGTTTTTAATATAAGCAGATTCAGTGACGTTTCATTAATTTTGAAAGCAGGACTATTAGCTCACATCACATTAAATAGTTTTTACACGCCGTGGATATTAGATTAAGCAAAATTTGCCTGAGTGAGATTCACTCCAATGAAGATAAAAAAGAATAGTCAATTTGGTAAGAAGCAGTTTAATGTCCAGCACAGAAACTGGTAATTGTTGCTTGGCATCAAAATGGTTGGGTTACATTAAATGGATATATAGGATAAACAGGGATGCAGAATTGAATTATATGCACATGACATTAAATGGGCAATCATTACTGTCAATGGTCATACTCCCTCAGAGGGTAATAGTCTCTCTGAAGCTTCATGCCATGAGTAGGACTATCATTTTTCTTTCGTTTTTTTGAAGGGACAGGTTAGATTGGACAGCTTGTTTTTGCCAGAAGCCTGAACTGATCCTTTGCAAAATATATTTTAATAAAATGTATGCTTCTGCCTACAAAATAGAAGACTTTTGAAATTAGGCCAGGAGCTGTATATAATCCTAATTCTTCATAGTGCCTATCTGTGTTAAAAGCTGCCCAGTTTCCATCATCCATACTGACCATGCTAGCAGGGGTTGATGGGAATAAGAGTCCAATAAAACCCAAAGTAACAGACTCATATCTGCTTTAGTAATATATCTATAAACAAGGAAGGTTGTGTCTTGAGCCTGGCACTCACATACTCCTTTCATATAATCAGAGGGAGAATTTCTGAAGTTATTTAGTTTATTTTCCTGAATCTCAAGTTGTATGCAAACCAGAATAGTTTTAAATAAGCTAATCAATATCAAAAGTTTCTTTTATTTTGATGTAGTGTCTTCAATTGCTTTCAAAGTCTTGACAGACAACATGGACAAAGACTGTCCATGTTACAGGCTTTGCTTAGATTGTTTACATAAACAAGATTTGAAACACAGTGTAGGCACGAAGTTTATAAGCAGTAAATTTTAAGAAATTATACAGTTTTTGCCTTTGTGTGCTTTCCTTTTTTTAGATTTTGTTATCTGTCTAAATTGGGAAGTCGGAAGTTCAGCACTTGGACTAGAAACAAAATCTGTATAGCAGGGATATCTCACTGATCTTGGCTGTGGGATGGGTTGTCCTAAGAAATATCCTTCCTCTTCAGAATCTGAAGATGATGAAGATGAGTACCAAGAATCTTCTTCCTCACCCAAAAATCCAAAAAACTGATCTCTCTGTTTCCCCATTGCATAGTCAGGAGCAATATGATTATAATGGCTGAAAGAAGTTGGAGTATATGCCCGAACTGCCTGAGGACTTTTATTCTGAATAAACGTATCATAATCCTGAGGGGAATAAAAATTAAACCTTTCTTTTGGATAAGGTTTTCTTTCTGCAACCAGATGAAGTGCATTATCAGATCGAGATTTTCTACTCCTTCGATGATGTCTCTTTCCATGGTCTTCAAACTGATAAACACGTCTGCGAGTCCTTTCACTCATAGGAGGTTGGCGAATGTCAAGATTGTCATAGTTTCCATTATCAATGACATCATCTGAAAATTTCACTTGCTGAGGCCTAGTCTGTGATTTGGATCTTCTCAGTACTGGCACATGCATTGACTTTTCTTCTGGCAGTGTCTCACCTTGACATAATTCAGAGCTTAAACTTTTCAAAGACTCTGTGCTCCTATGAAGCATTGATGAATTCAATGTTCCCATGTTGCTCATTTTCTCACAATCCTCCACCTCTAGCTCTTGATAGGTTTCAAAGGAGTACAGAGAAGGTCTTGGTTTGATTTCATCAATAGAAGCACCTAAGAATTAAAAAAAAAAGTAATTTTGGTTGGAAAACTTACTTCATCCACAGTTAAATTCTAAAAAAGTAATTGAAGTTTATATAAGAAAGTCACATTTGGATTATGAATTATTTATTTACTCAAATTTTCCTCCATCAAACTCAGTGCAAGGGGAAGAAAACACCAGCAGTATAATATAGCAATTTTATTAGACTTCTGTATTATTTCAGTTATAACTAACTATAGGTGATACACAATCAACCACATTCATATTTGAGAATAAAATGAGTTATCTTTCCTGGTGGCCATAGGGATCTACATATTAAATAAATTTGACAACAAACTTTTGAAATAATAATTTTTGATTATTAGTGATATCCAAAATGTCTGGTTTCAAGGCAGGCCTCTTCAAGAAACAGCACCCCTTTCAAGATACGCAGCATTTTCTTTCCAACAATGTGGTGTTGACTATCACTAGGATAAGTTTCTTATCTTCTCCCTGGCAGCCTGAACCAGCCAGGAACAGCAAGGGTCAAACCTCCAAGTGGCAGAACTGGCGTTACAAAGGACCCTGTCCACTTCCTTGACAGTACAAGCTAAAAAAATCTTCCAGATAACTGCACAAAATGTCAACTCTGGATTCTGACCATCTGGCTTCCAATTCAAACCAATTATATCCACAAAATGCCCAGCTAAATGGTCACTGAAGTCACTTAATAGATCAGGCAGGAAAGCTACTATGTAGCTAGGAGGACATTACAATAGCAGCATCCCTAGCTTGTCCTTCAGGCCCAAATGTACAAATAAGATATCACATCTTGGAACAGTATTTCTTGTGTTGGAGAACATTTTAGAATATTTTATAACTAGGCTACTTGTAAAAACTGGTAAAACAATATCATAAGGAGCTCAGCAGGGAAGCTGCTACTCCATTGCCTTCTTAGCTCCACCCCTGTTGGAGAATATGGTTTTACAAGGTGATGAATAAGCAAAAGATAAAATTCATAAGCACTTAAATTCCACTAGAAAGCACTTGAGGCCCTGGGCCATTGAACAGGCTTTCTTTGCAAAGGGAGCATGAATAAAAGCAAGGAAAACTGAATCTGTAAACCCTTGCAGAACAATGGTAAGAATCAAGCTTTATGATATGAAAATTAATTGTAAATAAATCACAATGCTTAATGAACAAACCATAAATCACAGTTCTTAACTGTTTTACCTGTGATGTTAGATAAAGCAAGGGAATCCATTGAGTCTCGAACACATTGCTCTTGTTTCAGGTTTGACAAACACTCCAGTGAATCATTATACCATTGCTTTTGGTCATGTTTGTATCTTGTTGTGCCGTGTTCCATGTCTAGTTCTTGGATTTTCCTGCTACTAGCAGGTCCTGGGTGACTACCGTATGCAGAATCACCTAGGCCATCTTGGGATTGTGCCCAATACATATTTGCCTGGTATTTCTTACTTGCTAAGCTTTGATTATTTTTCTTCAATTCCGATCTCCCTTTAGCCACGTTCTCACAAATCCACTGATCATTTGATCTAACATTTGCTTCCACTGGCTGTTGAAATAGGTTTTTATCACCAAATTTGAGGAGCAGCTGAGTCATATAATCTTCATGCTCAGCCCATTCTTCTGGATCATCAGGCATTTCCTCTCCCCTTACTTTCCAGAGTTCTTCATCAACAAAGCTTACTTCTTGCCTTGAAAGACTTAAGTCATCCAGTTTCCGTGAAAGTGTATTATCAGCTGTGCTTGAAAGACCAGGGAATTTGTAGTTCATTGCTGGCGACAACAGGAGAGATTGCCTGCACTGATCTGCTGATCGACTGCTTTTCCCCATACGAACACTCCTTCTGGAGTCTCTTGAGCGAGCAGACTGGAAAGCAGAATCAGAAGAATCTGAAGCATGAACATCTTCTCCCAAGCTGCATGATTTGGAGCAAAAAATCTGTCCTTGCTTGGGAAGGAAGGGGCAGCCAAGTAGCGAAACTTTGCAATGAGCACAAGAAAAGCAAGTTTCTGTAGCATGCCAATGTTGTCCATCATAAGTCATTTGAGCATGATCAACCCCTGTTAAAAGGAGATTTGTGTTTAAACATGTTTGCTAAGATTGTTATGACACTTTTCTTTCTCGTTAGATAAAATGTTTTAATAATAAAATTCATATGTTATTTAGTCAGATTTGAGACTGAGTCTATTTACACTATAGTGGTACCAAAAAAAAAAAAAATTGCAGCACCTTGAAGACTAATCAATATATCATTGGCATAAAGCTTTATTTCCATTTTTAATAGGTCTCTTGAAAGCAGACTATAGACACCTTACACTTCCATCTATCATTTTATTTTTAAAACACAGTAAAATGAAGTCTTGGCTTTAGATAACTGATAGAGAAAACTGCAGCGCCAAAAGAAAATCTAATAAATAGTAGTTCTGAGCATACATGTGTACCAGAATAGTACAACAGAAGTCACTGGCAATAAAATTAGTCCAACTAGCTGCTAGATTAACATAGCATGGCTAAAAAAACCCACTGTCCAATTAAAATGGAATTAATTAATTAATATTTATTTATTTATTCAATTTGTATAGCTGCCCATCTCACATATATGACTCTGGGCTGCTCACAACAATTAAAAACAACAAGAATAAAAAATATAAATATAAACAACAAACATACAACCGTCCTAAAACTACTATTAAAAGCTCAATTAAACAATTTGCTGATAACAAGCATTTACAGTATTAGTCTTTGTTTTTGTTGAAGTATAACAACTTTGGCATCAATAGCAAAATTAAAAAAAAACAATTTAAAAAGTTTAAAAAACAATTTAAAAAAAATTAAAAATTAAAAAAAACAAACAGCAAAATAGCCAGTTTGGTCAAGTGCTTAAGGCACCAGGCTTGAAAGCAGGAGACTGTGAGTTCTAGTCCCACCTTAGGCATGAAAGCCGGCTGGGTGACTTTGGGCAAGTCATTCTTTCAGCCCAACTCACCTCACAGGGTTGTTGTTGTGGGGAAAATAGGAGGAAGGAGTACAGGTAGTCCTCGCTATTCAACCACAATAGGGATCAGAATTTAGGTCATTAAGTGATTTGGTCATTAAGTGAATCAGAGCTGTTTTTATGACCTTTTTTAGATGGTCGTTAAGGGAATCACCATGGTAGTTAAGCGAATCCAGCTTCCCCAATGGACTTTTTTTGCTGGAATTCATTTAATGACCATGTGATTCACTTAACGATGATGTGATTCGCTTAACAACCATCGTAAAAAAAGTTGCAAATCATGATCATGTGACCGCGAGGGTCGTAAAGCGCTTTTCCCAAGGCTGTTGTTAAACAAATGGTCGTTAAGCAAGGACTACCTGTATTAGATATGTTTGCCGCCTTGAGTTATTTATAAAAATAACAAAGGGATAAAAAAAAAATACCCTGAGGGACTGAAATGTTCTTGTCATCTGGATATTAATTTTAAAATAACAGGGATAAACCTGGGGACCTCAGGTTCTGCAAATAAGCTTAAAGCCAATTTCAATTGAATCATAATGACAGCCATTCAAAAGGGGGTCCTTTAACTGTCCGTTAGATTTAAAACTTGGTTTTGTAACTAAATAGCTTCAACAAATATTTTTCCTCAGTTAAGATGCAAGCTTACCTATATGTTCCCCACAAGTCTCACAATATTCTGCATAAAGAGACTCAAAACAGCCACAGCAGAATGGGCGGCCATCCTTCATAATATACCTCTGGCCTCCGAGGATGGTTTCACACTCAAGGCAACAGAAGTGTTTCATGTGCCAGTGACGGCCTTCTGCTTCTGTACATTCATCAGCAAAAATGATCTGGGATAGGTGGGGAGGAAAAAGTTTTAGTTTTTTGGAATTTTTCTTATTTCTCACTCTCTCTTTCGGGGGATAGGTGAATTTATCTTTAAATAATAAAACAGTGGAGATACTGGTATTCAGCTCAGAGATTCAAAAATATCTTTAAAATCCTCTTCCTTTTTGTTAAAAATAACTTAATGTATTCTGCTTTGATGGTTAATTTTTCACTAATGATGTACTGAGCACTAATGTACAACTTTTACAACTCCTTTGTCCACGTACTGATATTATATCATTTTTATTCCTCTTTACCCTTTTTTCTTTTTTTCTCTTCTTTTTTTTTTAAAAATTAATTTTAAAAAGAACTGAAAAAGGGGGGGGGGGAGAGAAACATTTTAGCCAAAACCTCTGAGCCACACATAAGACTATCTGCCATATATAATCTAACAGTATTTTTGCAAGTTATATTTCTTCAATTTAAGTACTTTCACTAGAAGTTAATATGTTAAAAAGCATGTGAAAAGCAGTTTTTAACTGATGTGGGGAACCATTTTTGTCCCAAAGGATGTGTGTGGTAATATCAGATGATGAGTCATATCCAAATGCAGATGAACCTAAACACTTTTTGCTTGAGTGAAAAAGGGCTTAATGGACGGAGAACATCTTTTCTCTTTGAAAACTGGGATTGAGCAAGAGATAGACAGCACCATCATAGCTTTCAAAGACTTATCCTACTGATATATAGGGTAAACACATTTTTAATCCTTGCAGAAGACTGCCTTCTTTCCAGGCTACTTAGCAATTGTTTGGTCTGCTGGAAGGAGCACTGGGAACCTGTGGACAAGCCTTCTCCCATTCAGCAGCCCCAATTTTTGGTACAGGTAGCAATCAGGAAATAAATGCTGACAAGGTAACAATTATCTCACACTCCTTCAAGAGTATCAGTGGCTTTCCAACCACACAGGTAATGGCCATCAGCTACATGGAAGGGAATAGTAGCCAAGGTTCCAGTAGTTCTGTATGTTTGTTTTCAAGGGTTTCAAAGAAAATATAGAAACTAGAGAGAAGATCAAAAAATAAAAGAATATAATACAGATAAATAAACCAGGTATTTAAAGATGTCATGGACGTTATAGCTGGGGTTATCGTACATAAGATGGGCAGCCATATAAGTCCTTTAAATAAATAAATTTTATATATATATAAAATAATTTAGTTATATATAGTTAAATATTTTTAATATATTATATCATGTTAAAAGATTAAGGATCACTGTTAAACTTGAATTAGAATGAATATCAAGAACTATGGTCAACACAATATAAATTATATGTTGTAGTAGGTTTGGTCCATATTACTAAGAATCTATTCTGATTTAAGTACCTTGAAGCATAAATTCTATGCATAAATAAATCCAAATATTGGATACGCTACCAATCCATGTATTATACTCTAAGAATGGTTTCCAGTTTAAGCTGAAATCTGTTTCTAATTTACTTTCAAGATACAAACTTTAGATATCAACTTGGTTAGCCATTCTTCCATTGATGGATTCAGATAACCTTTCCAGTAAGAAGCATATAATATCCTTACAGCAATTATCCCATATAAATCTAATTCAGTATACTTTGAGGGGATATGTGGCTTGATAAAGTTTAATAAGAATATTTTAGGTTAAAATGGAAATTGAACTGTTAAGAATTATTTCATCCTGAATCATTTTACAGAATTGTTGAGTTGTATGGCATTAAAGTTTAATGCCAAATCTGAAAAAATGACCCAACCTGCTCATTAGATTTCCAGGAATTTTTTAAAAATAAATTGTCCTTTTTAGCAATCAAAACTGGAATAATATACAGTGGGGCAAAAAAGTATTTAGTCAGCCACCAATTGTGCAAGTTCTCCCACTTAAAAAGATGAGAGAGGCCTGTAATTTTCATCATAGGTATACCTCAACTATGAGAGACAAAATGAGAAAAAAAATCCAGAAAATCACATTGTCTGATTTTTAAAGAATTTATTTGCAAATCATGGTGGAAAATAAGTATTTGGTCACCTACAAACAAGCAAGATGTCTGGCTCTCACAGACCTGTAACTACTTCTTTAAGAGGCTCCTCTGTCCTCCACTCGTTACCTGTAGTAATGGCACCTGTTTGACCTTGTTATCAGTATAAAAGACACCTGTCCACAACCTCAAACAGTCACACTCCAAACTCCACTATGGCCAAGACCAAAGAGCTGTTGAAGGACACCAGAAACAAAATTGTAGACCTGAAAAAGTATTTAGTCAGCCACCAATTGTGCAAGTTCTCCCACTTAAAAAGATGAGAGAGGCCTGTAATTTTCATCATAGGTATACCTCAACTATGAGAGACAAAATGAGAAAAAAAATCCAGAAAATCACATTGTCTGATTTTTAAAGAATTTATTTGCAAATCATGGTGGAAAATAAGTATTTGGTCACCTACAAACAAGCAAGATGTCTGGCTCTCACAGACCTGTAACTACTTCTTTAAGAGGCTCCTCTGTCCTCCACTCGTTACCTGTAGTAATGGCACCTGTTTGACCTTGTTATCAGTATAAAAGACACCTGTCCACAACCTCAAACAGTCACACTCCAAACTCCACTATGGCCAAGACCAAAGAGCTGTTGAAGGACACCAGAAACAAAATTGTAGACCTGTGCCATTACTACAGGTAACGAGTGGAGGACAGAGGAGCCTCTTAAAGAAGTAGTTACAGGTCTGTGAGAGCCAGACATCTTGCTTGTTTGTAGGTGACCAAATACTTATTTTCCACCATGATTTGCAAATAAATTCTTTAAAAATCAGACAATGTGATTTTCTGGATTTTTTTTCTCATTTTGTCTCTCATAGTTGAGGTATACCTATGATGAAAATTACAGGCCTCTCTCATCTTTTTAAGTGGGAGAACTTGCACAATTGGTGGCTGACTAAATACTTTTTTGCCCCACTGTACCAATGATAAAACATCTTAGACCATTTTTCTCTGAGTATAATGTTCTGAGTAAATTCTTCTTCTATTACAATTCCCATTGTTGCATCTATATACTGTATTCTAATTCTGAATCCATTTCATCATACGATCTTTGACCTGTTTAAGGTCCTGAGTCATACTTCACGAACAGTCTATAAATAAGGCCCAACAAATGTTCCAAGTTAAGTATTATAAGATTTTAAAACTCAGTCAAATCTCTTAGTATTCCCTCTTGTTTCTGCAGTTAGGTTCCAATGTTTCTGAGGGCTACATAAGAGGAATTTGTAGATCACACTCAGAAGTGCCTGAGTAATAAATGCTATGCTCATTTTCACTTCCATCTTAAGTATTGTGAGAATGTGAGATTTACCTCATCACATGCTGAACATCGTGGCTTGAGCAGTTCAGCATGGTGTCTACCACAATGAATTTTTCCATCTTGGAAGAAATAGATTAAGTCAACAAGAAGTTCACTGCATGTAAAACATACAAAACAGGACGGATGCCAGCACACTCCAGGCCCAGCTCTTGAAGCAAATACTGCAACTTCACCTCCATTTATTTTTGTACCACACTGAAAAATAAAAACAGGGATTTAAATACTTTTTCCTCCATATATCCATCTAGATAAACCTAGATACATTTACATATAATTTTAATTTTCATACATCTACAACTTATCAGCAACAATGTGACATCACATCTGTGAGGAAAGGACTGACCAGGACACTAAAGGAGCATATGCTGTTACTATTATATGATCTTCCTTGATTCAAGGCTACTGACTCTCGTTTCATATTGACTATTAATAAAACAACTTCTTCTCAGAAACTTTCTTTGAGCATTCCGTAGTGTTAAGCATATGCTACATGCATGCACATACTCATACTGATTCATCAGCATCCTCTAATCAAACCTTCATTATCCCTCGACTTACCTTGGTATTTATCAGACTTTTCTTGATCAATATTTTAAGTATATTGCTATACACAAAAGCACAACAATAGGTATCATAAACCAACAAATGCTGTTTGATCAGTTTTTAGCCTAGCAAGCTTGACCTCACATTTTATTTAATCCTATTCAATTTATGCTTTATTCCATGTTTATCAGTAATTGAATTTCATAGAGTTACGGAATTCTTAATTAATAATAACAATGTTACCTGTTCACAAAGTGCATGCATTATTGCTTGAGGGAGTAATTTGACTGAGCCTCGCCCCAGTGCTTCCTTTTTACGTTGTGCACTAAATATCTGAAGTTCTTTCTTCTCTTCTTCACTTAAAGACTGGCAGTATCGCACCTTCAACAAAATAAGCCAATATCACATTTAGAATCTATGCAAATTATATTTGGAATAAACATGCATGAATAGGTCTACATATATCTTTTTGGAAACTAAAAGTTTGTGGACTTATATCAAATTCATGGATAAAAGAGAGTTGCATACGCAGCTAATTCTCTTCTTATTCTTTCACCACAATGTAATGATCTGTCTCAACAATTGGAGCTGCTACAGTGACATGAAGTGTTACTGCTGTCTATGCAGTACTGCCCTGGACACTGACATACTTTGAAGATTATAGCCTATGTCCATTTTGATTTTACGAGTTTATGGATTTAAGATAAATTTCTATAGATACAATTATGGAATGAAGAAGTAGATTATTCTTTCATTCTTTATGAGAAAGAAGAGATGAGAGGTGGCACCATAGAGTTTTGGTGCTGTTTCCATCCACAGCCAGCATGAGGTCACTGACAGTTTTAATTAAAAAATCATTTTCTAAACCCAGCCTGTCCAGATCAAACTTTGTTGGGTGAATCTATTAACTCTATTAATGAATTAGATACATTTCTTTTCAAATAGTTTTCAAAGAATTGAGCTACATGACAGATATCTGCTCACGCCTTACACTTCAGAATATGTAATGATAAAAACTACCGCTTTGGTTCTCTAAGACAATCTTATTGATGTATCTCTTATTAGGTACTTCTACTTTCTCTAGGACGGATCATTCAGTCACTTGTGAAGTTGCAAAATTATCCATTCAAGAGCAGGAAAAAATAAAAATAAATATTGATAGGAAATAATTCTTGGAGAAAGCTAACAAGGGTTATTATACGTTTTTTTTTAAAAAAACACCACCACCCTAAATTACACCAGGATTGGTACCTTGCACAACAGAGGGTAGTCATTATTTCATAGAACAGATAATACTGTAGGGAAGGACTGTACCTGTAATGTTGCAAAGTGGCAAGCCAAAGCATAAAAAACAGGCACAAAGGGATGGGGTTGATCTAAACTGAAATGCTCTTTCAGAGTTTTAGGGTGCGAAATACAGGTGCAAGTTGTACATATTGCTCTGTATGTGGACAAGTATACCCTTTCCCACCCCATTCTCTACTTAATACATATACTTTATATTGATAAAAGGCTGGCTATGAACCTTTAAAAATACTAAAATAATACAATAAGCCACATTGCTGGTGGCAGGGTTTTGTTTTTTTTTTAACTAATGTTTAACTGCTATAAATTAAAGATTTGGGGAGAAGACCAAATGAAAACAATGCTGATGGCCCAAGAGCTTCTCTAGAAAAAGTTTTCATCCTTGGCCTTTAAAGCAACAAAAGTCCTTGGCGGGATGATGTGGTGGAACATATCTTTGCAGCTGTTTTCGAATACTCTGAGTTGGACTCAGAAGCACACCAGCAGTAGAGCTCCTTTAGGACAGAAGCCCTCTGTTCAAGGGACTTGACTCCTGATTACCAGATGGGCATGTATTTTGTCAACAGTATAGAACAGAACAGTATAGAAGTGGCTTATCCTTGCCTTCTTACAAGATTTTTTTTCAACTTCCTAGTCTAACTTAAAATCCTGGAATTTTCTGGTGGTCTTCATCCACAAATTAATTAGGTATGATCCTGCTCAACTCTTTGGGATCAGCCAAGATCATCTGCATGCAGCATAATAGGAACTAAATCAGGGGCGCAGTCAGAATTACAGAACTGTATGATTGACCAACTGAACACTTGCAAAGGTAGTCTCATACCCAACACGTTTCATGGCATGCGTAACTGTAATTGGTTACATCTCGTCACATAGTTTTGGGAGACAGCCAGCATTTGAAAAACCATAGATTTGTTGCAGAAAAAGGGAATGTGTCCCTCTGTCTCAACTCAGCAGAGCAAAACATGATTATCTATACCTACCTCATTGTCGTGGGGTGGTAGCTGATACAGAAGCTGCTTAATTCGGTATTTCTCTCCAGGACTGTTAACATATGGGACCTTCTCCTCTGACAGGCAGGCGAAGTAAAGCTGAACCTGAATTAGAAGCCAGACTTATATCCCATTCATACACTTCTGTGTAAGAATTCTTCATCTGCTATCTTATACTGATTTTTATTTATACAGTATGCTAGGTCTATTTTGCCTATTTATTTACTTATTTACACAATTTATTAGCCGCCCATCTCACTTTTTCCAAGCGACTCTGGGCAGCATGCAACAGGGTTAAAAACAATCAATAAATACATTTAAAAAGTATAAAAAACTAAACTAAAACAAAAAATAATAAGTGAGGAGATGTTAAAAATAATGGACCCACCTCACTAGATCACCCATCCCCTGGAGTCCCCAGGCCTGCTGGCACAACCAGGTTTTGAGGGACCTCCGGAAGCCCAACAGTGATGAGGCCAGCCTCACCTCAGGGAGAAGAAGACTCCAGTGCGCAGGCGCCACAGCAGAAAAGGCCCGCAGCCCAGAGCCCACCAAATGTAGCTCCTTAGGCGTCAGAACCCATAACATGCCCTCTCTGCCAGATCTGGTAGGATGGGCAGATGAAATCAGGGAGAGGCAGTCCCTCAAGTAACGCAGACCCATGCCATGAAGGGCTTTAAAGGTCAACACCAGCATCTTGAATTGGACCCAGAAACAAACCAGTAACCAGTGCAGCTTGCGAAGCAGAGGTGTAATGTGTGTTCCGCCAGAAGCACACGTAACTGCTTGCACCGCTGCATTTTGCATCAGCTGAAGTTTCCAGATACTCTTCAAGGACAGCCCCATGTAGAGCGCATTGCGGTAATCTAACCAGGAGGTGACCAGGGCATGAGTGACCGTGAGAAGGTCCCCCTGATCCAGGAATGGGTGCAACTGGCACACGATACAAGAGCCTGTGCAAAGGCTCTTTTCCTTTTTTCTCGGCATCTTTAGCAGAATTTGCATTCCTTTTTTTTAGGAAGACCAAATAAGCCAACTCTGGAGAACTGGATAACCTCAGATAACTAGCACCCAGCTGTTGTATTGCTTGCCTGGAATGCAATTTAAAGTGGCAATCAGGGCTGCCATAAATTATGCACATCTCATTTCCACCTCCTCCAGGATAGTTAGCAGGTCTGTTAAAATTCCACATACTCTTTCTGCATTTTATCACACAATGTGTGAAACTATCCAGAAAACAACTGATAATTCAACAAGTCTGACTTGTTCCCTGAACTGCATAGACTAAAGGTTGTTTTGTAATTTCTTGCTGATTAAGTTCATTCCTCCCATTTGAACTTTGCAGTTGTTAAATAAAACCATATTTGCCACCTGATACAAGCAGAAAATCTACTGCTGCTTCTATCTATAGTAAACGATATTCTCTACTTCCTGCCCAAATAGAACTGAAAGAGAAAATAATGTTTCACTGAGGAAGGTGTTTTCTGTTTGCCTTATTGTTATTTAAATTACAAAAGGATTAATAGGCCAGTTATTTGTAAGGAAATAGAAATGAAGTGTCTTCATATTAATAAGAAATGTATTATTTTCTGGCTCCATTTTACTTGGAGGACTACACTGAACTATCAGTGTCAGTACTGCTCTAATTTTAATGGGCACAGCAAATTGGTCAGTAAGAAGATAGCTATATTTAAACGAAGGAAAGTTTGGAGAAAAATATGTGATTATTCACAGGGCATTTCAAATGAATAGGACATTTACAAAATGCACAGCACAAAACAAACATACATCCTAAAGAAAGTGTACCCCCAGGCATCTTTGTAAATAATTTTATAAGCATATTGCATCTTAAATAAGATACTAAGAAATTGACTTTTTCTGTTGAGCTATGTTAACACTACCTTGAATATTATTTTGTATTTTAAAGTTTAGTTCAAAGTTCCAATAGACAAGAATATATGGAGTCCTTGGTGCTCTCTGAGCTCAATTGTTTGCTTGCAGACATTTCATTACCTGATTAGGTAACATCATCAGTACAAGTGTTAGGTTTGCTCCCTGTTTATATACAGTAGCTTGCCCTGCCAGTTCTGGAGGGGTGGTGGTTTTCTTCTTGGAAGTTCCTTGATTAGGGTATTGTTTTCTGCTTGATTGTTTGCCTGGTATTAATCCCTGCTTATCTGGGTGTTAGCTGCTGGAGAGGATGTGTTCTGGTCTTTTTGTTTCCTTCTCAGCTTAGTTCAAAGTCTACTTAATTTTTTTAATCATAATAATGCTATTATTATATACAACCTAAATAGTAAAAACTGATTTTTAAGTGTGGGGTTGTTGTTTTTTTGGTCTACTATATTTATGAAAAAAAAAAGATCAATATAACATAAGCACAGAATTACTTTTCTAATATACAGTTGAACATAAGCTGATTAATATTTGCCCTTACCTGTTCTGGTCTAAGACCCGGAGGAACCCAGGCATATTCTTCTAAGGCGCATCCAGAATCATCATCTGATGTTGAACTTCGTTGGAAGCCAGATGTACGGCTGGCAACTTTTGGTTCCATTTCCAAAAGACACAGGTCAGTGGGCAGTATCAAGATGTTCAGTTGTAGTTCATCAATTAAGAGCTCTAAAAAAAAAAAAGTTCAAAAGTTAAATATTGCAATAAAAAGCATAGCTACTATTTCAAAACATACAGATGTCATACTGGCTTTGCTCCTATACTTGTACTTTATTCTATGTTAATTTTTCAAAGCAATAAGGAAACATACATGCTATTTCCAATTATGTGGAGTTTTTTAGTTCCTAATTAAAAGAAAGCAGGAGTGAGACTTTACATGCTAAACAGTCCTCTAAAGGAGAATATATATATATATGGGATTAAGTGACCTTATGTGTGGATTATGCCTTAACATGTTAAAATTTAATCCAAGAAAAATGCTTTTTAGATAATGTGCTGTTCAGCTTAATCCCTACGTAGTATTATGAAGATATACACTGGAATTGCATGTTTCCCATTTGCTTTTGCTTTTCACTTGCAATTTTTTATTATAATTTGACTTTAAACAATATTTAAGATCCTGGATACCTAATAATGTAACATTTTTTCAAACTATAGTTAGAACGGAAAATTATACATTAAATTGGTTGTATCGAAAATAGAGCCATATTGAAAACAGAGACTGGAAGAGGGATCACTGGCTATCCTGACAAAGACATGACAAATTGGGCCTCTGATGCAGAAGACACTGCATCAAGATTTGGTATATAAATATTAAGAAATCACTGACTGCTCCCCATTTTATAGCTACTTCATAACAATGCAACTTGTAATTTAACTGTATATACTGTGATGTTTAAAAGTCAGTCTTAAGTATAAAAAAGAGAAATGAATACAGATAAATGAAGCACGAAGTAGATTCTATGCATGAAAATTGAGACAAATGTAAGACTTTTCTAGACTCCTAAAATATTAAAACTCCATTGCCCCCAACGAATATGTTTCGCAGCATACCCTAATCTTGTTCTTCTTTACAGAAGTTAAAAAGAAAAAGATACTGATGAACAAAGAAATGTTCTAGCAAGGCTTAATTTTTATAAAAGATGTGATAATCATATCTGACTATATACCTATTTCAAGTGAATTTCAAATAATGCAGTATATATAAAGGTATAATGGCATACTACAGTATACTAAGTATATTATAATAAGTATGCTATAAGGTATACTATAGTACAATATACCTAAAAAGTTTAGGAAATGTTAGTGAGAATGTACGTCTGTGTACTTATGTAAAACAAAGAAAGCAATTAAATGTCTGAATCTTCCATGTAAAGTTATGGTAGACCAATTTTTGCTTGACATGTGAATAACCTATGGACAAGGAATTAAATATACAGCAGCATTGAAATACATTACATGCTTCTATTTATATGACATTCCAACTTGCAAATTCTATGCTGTTGTATCAAGTGACATATTAGGTAGTAGGCCTGCTGTGCAGACATTCATAGTATGATCTCAAGGCAACTCATCATACAATCTTGGGATTTTTAGCAATATCCCATGCTGATGCTTCCATGTGAAACCAACTAGTATGTATTTTCCTAGACATCATGCATTTTTATAGGCACTTATATTTTGGATAGCGTATATAGGTAAAAAATTATACATATGTATTTGAGGAATAAACATGCCTATGTTTGCTACAAATAACCAAATTGTTTTCTTACCTTCTATCACTCTTTTTCTCCTTTGTTTTCTTAAGGACTTTTGTAAACTTCCTGTGCAATCTGATATTTATTTGTAGTGCAGGGACAATCTTAAATTTGAAGAGATTATCCTCTGCATTCTCTGTTAGCAGAGGTTTGGCCAATCTTACTTAACTCTTTATGTCTTTTACAAATTCAGAGAAAAACAAGAGTGCCATATCCTCACCAAAGAAAAATACAGACAATATTCTTGAGCATTCAAAAATTATCCCTTCTCCTGGAATGAAAAATGCAAGTGCAGAAAATGCAACTTTTCTGCAATACACTTAATAGCATATTAGCAAAATATATATGCCAGGCTCAGTCAGTTAAGTGGGATTTATTTGCAAGTATAGGATTAATAGGATTGTGAACCTAAAAGAGGAAATCTGGTCTCCTTGATCACTCAAATATTAAGATCAATTTAATAATACATACCAAATAAAACTGAGAAAGGTCTGATTTTGAAACATGAATGACAGTATTACTAAATATAAGGAAATGGGACAGTGAATTAAATCTAAGATTTTGCCTGTCTAGACAAAAAACTTCCTTGCTCACAAATGTGCTTTTTTGAATTTCACACCAGCAAATTTTAAGGGAAAAGTAAAACTAAATCCTATTATGTTCTGCTTAAGCAATCAGAAGCCAGATAATTGTTAGAACAACCTATTGTACTATCCGGACAATAGATTTTTCCAGATATAATACTAATAATCTCCAGTTTTGCAGGACATTTTGTGTAGCTTCATATTCACAAACAAAATGCCTTGTATACCAGTAATCTCATTTCAAAACTTTTTATTTTATTTAACATTTTAAAATAAAATGTTAAATAAAATATTTTATTTATTTTAAAGCTCTACAAAGCTTAATAATACTGATTTAAACTACTTGGTTGTTTTCTGAATGCAACACAAAATTTGACCATAGTTGTATCAACTAAATCAACCTAGCCTAAAAAGTGAAAACGTGCCAAGCATACTATAGTTGTATACAAGCAATTCTGTTAAAGTAAGCTTTATTTTAAAATGGCAATTTTAAAAGCAAACTTTGGGTCAATAAACAAAGCTGTTCCATAAATTTCCACACAGCCTAGCCCATGCATTATGGAAGGCATAATCAAGTCAAAGATCTCCCTAAATATTTAGCACAGGCTTTTCTAAACTCCTGCCAGTCTAATCAATTTTGGTGACCCACCCAATATGCTTTTGGTCACATTACTTGAATACTTTTGTATTCAAGAAGCAGAGCACCTGGGAATAGCTACAGTGTTCCCTCCCAATGCTACTCTGCATTGTTCAGTGAGAACATTGCTGCTTCATGCAGATACATTTTGGGTTCTGTCATTTAATATGGAAAGCAGAGGGTTGATTTGCACCTAAAAGCAATTTGCCATCAAATTGCTATGGCGGCAGCACCACAACCACATGGTTGGCTTTCAAAATTCATGATCTGAGCACACACACCCCCACCACGAAAAGAATGCTAGCCAGTGCTAAATATAGCCTTTGAAACAAGTCCTACATTTACCAGCATTCCAAAAGAGTTAGAGCTTTATACTTCCTTCCGACTATGAGAGATGGACTTGCTCCTTGCCTTCAAGCAGGCAGACATTGGGGCCTGCAGCTGACAAGCACCTACAGCTCTCAGGCATATAGAAATACAGTGTTTTAAAGCTTTTTGAAGACCATGTGGACTGAAAATAACAGTGAATGGGAACAAAATCAACCAATGGAAAAGTGAAGATGAAACAACTACATTGTATAAAATACAATGAAGTAATAATAATAAAAGCAGACTAGGGCTAACAGAAACTTAATATTGATACTGATAATAGTGATGACACTGGTAAATAATGAGTGTTAAGCTCTGCTCTTGAGAGTTTATATCACATCTTTTGAAAAGATTTCAACTTAGAATATTTTACAATAAGTAACAGAATGAAGATGTGAAAATACAGGTAATATAATGTGTGTGTGTGTTTCAGTGAAAACGTAGCACTTAAAAAGGAAATGGAGAATGTGTGACATACTTTTCAGAAGAATTGATTAATAAAGTACCTTTTCATTGGTTTTAAAACCATCCACTTTTGGCTCCACCCATCTTTTCATCATAGCAGACACACCCACTTCTGATAGCATTCAGTATTCTGAACTGTGCATTATCAATGATCCAAAAAAGTTTGCCAAGTCTTGCACCAGTCATATTTGGAACACTTCCTTGGGAGCCCCACTTGATTAAGTAGGAAAAATGCTATCTACACATGCACTGTCTCCCTTTGAAATGCACAACCCAGAAACTTCAAGCAAAGAATCTTATTTTCTCCAGCCTTTTAAAAATGTTACGTTAATTTAGGTTGCAATGCAACTGCATTATTTTAATGTTCTATTTCTAATTTTACAGTTTTTGGATTATCTACTTATTTGATTATTAGTTTCCTTGGAAATGGTAATTTAAAAAAAAAAGTTTATTTGTTCCTCTGAATTGGAAACAGTAAGCTGATATAACTTAAGTGCAAGTCAATAGTTGCCTGAAGTAAAGTCAGGTCATTTTTGAGTTGAGCTTGACTTCATGGATATGTCTATATATGTATTTTGGATATGTCTATATAGGTATTAATGACAATATAGATGTTATTTGCTATTGCCATCTTCCAATAGATACTCCTGAGAAGTAGATCTTATTAGGTTAGATAATGCTTATTTTCAAGTAAATATATATATTGTAATGCAGGTTTATCAAAATTGGGGGAGGGATGCATTCCAAGTACTATTTCTGCATAAATAGCTACAGAATTTTGTATTATTTTAAAATATGCTTTTAGAAATTGGTACTTTTCATGGATACAGCATGAAGAAAGAGAAAGACTTAATACTGTGCTTTTTCACCTGAATGACAGGCAAAAAATGGCAATATTGGAAGTCATTTCTTGGCTCCTGGTATAAATCCTGCTAACTATCTCAATAAATTTGGAGTTTCTTACTAATTTCAGACTTGGAATACTTAAATGTTATTGAATGCAATGAAATTAGTCATACCTACTTATTTCAAAGAATTTATTCTAGGTGCAACTATGTCTGCGTCCAACTGTTTATTACAATGAAGCATTGAAAGAAAATATAACCATGATATTTTCCTGCTCTGTTCTTTAAAATAGCAATAAGACTGATGAAAAATGTGCCCTTTATATAAGTCTAACCTAGAGAAGCTTACAAAAAAGCTTACATCCTTTCGCTGATGAATGAACATTTATTAAGCATGTAATTGGATTAAAGAGTAATTTGATTTAAGGCATTCAGATACGTAACAGGGTAAATGTCACCTATATTCATTCAACATAAACTATTCAGAAGACAGCGCTTTTGCACAAAAATG